GTTTTATCGTTTATTTCAAAGGCTGCTTCTTTGATCTAACGCAGAAATCTCTCTCTTGTTGAGGGATGACACTGATTTGACATCTCCTCTCCGAACGCGCGCGACACATGATACATTATGCACACATGTTTGGACGCACACCATTATATCCTGACTTAATGTACTAGAAAGCCACTGTGCAAAGACTATGTGATGTTTCAGGATACAAATATATAAATATACGTCAGAGGTACATGGCTCAGCAGGGTGCGATTTGCATGCAGTAATAAGGTCCACATATCACTGCAAGATGGGTTGAGAAGCAGAATCTGAGGCCTGAATGCAAACAGGATGTCACACCTCTGTCCATATCGTTTATACGCACGCTCCACTGCAGATTTGACGCCCAAAGAAATGGAATATGACGTGTTTGCATTCAGGAAGAAGGAGAACTGGGAAGGTTACAGCAGATGCGTCTATTTACTTCACAGCAGTCTCTCTGTGTGTGATGCGCTACAGTGCAAATGCCACTGAGTCTGTGTTGGATTTGAAAAGCTATCTCCTCAAAGATTCCTCCCGTTGAGGGCTTATACCTTTTCCAAACGCTTCAAACGCGAGTTCACTGAATAGGGATGTGACGCTTTTTGACCTTTTATTTCCCTGGTTTGAGAAGTAGTTTGAGAAGTCATGTTTTGAGTTCAAAGGAAAATGTTCTGTGTTTCCACGAGGCAGTTGTCAAAGGTTTAACAGTTTAATTAAGCTAATTTTGTTTTCGTTGACACTGTTGTAGATTTTGGCAATTCACCCAGCTTTGATTGTTGTCATGAAAGATGTTATTCTGTTAAGTTTTTTTTTTTCCAAAACCTCTCAGGGCCAATTTAATTTGATTGACAAGAAAAATCTGATATTAGGGGAAAACTATCATATGGGGTAATAATGTAAAATTCTCTCTTTTGAGAGAGAGACCTTCACAGGCAATGCATTCACATGGATGCTGCAGATTTGCAACATTGGCCCACTGTGGTATATAACATTATCATTAGATAATTGGTGGTGATACTGACAGGAAATTGATGCCTAGTAAATCCTTTTCTGTGAAACCAAGAAGACCGACATTTTAGTAAAAGTTTTCCACCTGGTGAGCAGGTGGAAAACTGTGTGTTTCAAAAGCTCAACTAAGTCCAGCAGAAATGCAGAATTGTTGCAAATCTGCAACGTCTGACACGAGAGGCAGGGGGTAAAACTAGCGATTGTTTTGATTATCGATACATCTTGGAAATATTCTTTTAGTTGATCGATTAGTTGTTTCGCATTTCACTTTGATTGTGTGTACATTTGAGTATAATAAAGCATCTTCTAACAGGATGGACTCATTTTCTACCATTCAAAAATGCATTACGTTTGTTGAGCATTGAGCAAATGTTTGGACTATAGACCTGTAGACTTATTTGTACGTTTAGAGTTCAAACGGGTCTTGATCCATCCCAGAATATTTGACTTAACTCAAAATATGAGTAATACATCTTTTGCATCTTCTTGCATGAGTTTGATAGTTACATTTTATCAATAGAAAAAGTAAAATGCAAAGGGATCCTATAAATGGGACCTGGGGTGTGCAGCTGGTTAAACAGTTGTACCCTACAGTAAAATTTGGTGAAAATAAAACTATATACAATAAACAATCCAATTATGTGTGTTTTGCTCTGATTTGCAATGACCAATTCAGCGTAATGTTGTGGGCAGTTAATGTGGCAGATGGCGCACCTCCATTCCATGAATATTCTTGCAGGTTTTTGGAGAAAAAAAATTAATAATAAAATCTCAAAATAAAAAAAACATTCTGCTTCCAACACAATTTCCCCAGTATGCAGTTCAATAGAAGCTTTTTTTAAACAGATCTCACCCTCCAAACATTTCAGGTGCAGCGGCTGTAGAGTGTAGCCTTGGGACATTGCATTCATCTATGTGCAGTATATAGACCACAGGAGAGCCTAGACCAGACTGCAGGACGGGTGAACAAGGACAAACGGGAATCCTCATGTTTTTGAGTTTCTATCAGGTGCGCTTCAGGCAATCCTACAACGAAATAAAACTGCACACCAGGGTTCAAGGATAACTCAAAACATGCACTCTGTTTCAGCCATAGGACATGACTGTATTCTTGAATTGAATTGTTATTATTCTTCAGCAGCCCCATTTGACACAAAGAAAATCAATGAATGTCCTATTTATAAGTCATATTGAAAGACGGATTCTCCATTATACCATTTGGCTGTACAGGAACACACAGCATGCATTGGTCAGATAGGGATTCCACTTCGATTTCAATTTTTAAAAGAGTGCTGCAAAAACCACCAACAAGACAATGCAATCCGTAAAATCTACAAAACAGAATATCAATACCTTTCTGTGAGTAAAACAAAAAAGTCTAATCTAATTCATCTTTGAAACATGTAAAAGAAATGGAAATATAAAGAACATCATCCTGTGAACTCTATCTCTACAGTGATAAATAATTGTGACCATAAAGCTGAGGTACATAACTTGTTTTCCCTTTCATACATATTCCATGTTGTGTTTTTTGACAGAGAGTAACACTTTGATGAACAAATCAGACCAGAACATGCTCTCTTTATCTTATTACAAAACAAAACGTATCATATTTTGCATACTTGTAAGAAAGGGCCCTGTGAATTTCTGTGTAACGTTTTGGGCTGAGAGCTGATTGATTGACGGAGATAGTCTAGTTACACTGCTAAAAAGTGATGAAAAATAAATCAAATGTCATAACTGCCTTGAAAAATGATTTGCTAATTAATGGAACAAGAAAGAACAAATCTTGATTAAAAAGGTACAAGAAATGTCTCCCTTAAAATGAGAAATTAAAGCAACAGATTTTGAAATAAGACTAAAGGCCTATCCCATTGGCAAATCTTGCTGGGGTAAAATTGAGATAAAAACCACTCGATTCAAGCAACTTCTAATTATGTCATTTTCTTTGCTGTGTAGGTAACCAGCTTTTTTTTTTTTTTTTTTTTTTTACCAGTTTCCATTCCCTCCCAAGACGGAAAAGTAATTACGATTTAATTCCAACAATATTTCAATGACAACAGGTCTTCAGTATTTTTTACCAGACCTCGCCTTTGGAAATTGTCAATGATGGCCGGTGGCATATGATTGAATGTAAGCACCTCTGAACTGGGGGGGGGGGGGAAATGTCACAAATTGTTGTCCATTATATGAAATGTCCTCTACTCCACAAATCCAGCAAACCCATATTCTCAACAGATCTCATAGTAAACTCAAAGCTGAACATTCGTCCCATATCTGAAATGAGACTGACCCGCTGCTTTTATACATCTACACGGCGTGACCCATTTCCTCTCCGCTCATGCAGCCACCTCATCCTTTGACAATAGATTTCCCATTACTGTGCTTTATACCTTTCCAACACACCTCCACAGGGTTTACCACCAGGACCGATCCTATTCCCCCAACTCAATTGTCTGCAAGGATATTCAAAATGATGCTATGGATTGAGCATGTATGAATATATCGGTCTATAAGTGGCCATGCGAGTGTGTGCAGAAGATTAAGGTATCATTGTGTTTTTCAAAACGCTTATCTTCATGTTTTTTGGCACAAGTTGCTGCTGTACACACACACACACACACAAATGCATCCAGGCTGGTGAGCTTTTCAATTATGTAATTACAGTCGGCACAGAATGGAGCCTGCTTGGAGGGACACTGAGGTCTATTGTTGAGGCACCTGTCCCCCATAGACAGCAATTACCTGGCCTGCTGCAGGGGACATGTGCGCTATTGTCCCGTGTTTGTGTGTCCGTGTGTGAGTTATACGTTCTCATCCAAGTCGTTTGGCCACTGTGGAGCTACAGCGGTCATATGTCAAATCAGTGACAAAGCCAAGCCTGGTATCTTTTTATCTAGTGAGTATGGACCCAAGTATGGTGGCAGCACAGTTTAAACAAATAGATGAACACTTTTACGTTAAAGGCAAGTTTAATACAAAAATAATGCATAACCATTTCTTACAAAATGAACAAATTGGTTCAAAGGATACCCTTGTAATAAAACCACAGACGTTGAGGTAAAATCAGTGCAAAGATTGAAATTGACTTTGGCATGAGAACATAGTGAAGCGCATTCACATTTGTCTGGAGCTTTCTCCCAGATCGACGACACAGCTGGAACTCAGGATATCAGAATAGCCATAAGTCCATTTACTTTACTGTCATACAACTTGCAATGTGAATCTAAAACATGCCAGATTCATTACATGCAAAGGTCATATCAGACTGTAAACTATAATCTAAAATATAACAAATGTCACGTATAATACAGTATATGTCACATTGCATCTAAAGAGTCCATATCTTATATTGGTTTCAGATTTGAAGTTGCATTACAGACATAAATGAACGATTGAACGACTCTAAATTATCCGAGGTTCACCAGTAGATATTAACAGTACACAATTGTAAACCTGTAGACAATCATAAACAGACATTGAATCCAGTTATACATGGCTGTGATCAGGTAATGAAAGTGGACCAGTGCATATTTATTCATACCCTGCAGTGCGGAAGACTATTTCCAGCTTCATGTTTTTTTTCTCTTTAAACAAAAGAGCATTTCAAAGTTAAAATACACATTTCTCCAATATGGAAAGTAGAAACATACTCTTCCTAAAACAATATCAACTGCTAACTATAGTTCAAAAGTCATTACCAAAAACAGGGAAGAGGAGAAAAGCAAACATATCAAACTAATTCAGTTGTCAGAAAAAAATAACAAAATATTTTTTCAGTTTTAAACCCCAGTGTCGTGAAAACATAATAAAAAAGAATGCATACTTGGAGAGCGCATACCCACGCCAACAACACCTCAAAATTATAACCGTTTTTCCACCATCACATCTACACACCACATTTCAAATCAATACACACGCACACACACACACGCACATATTTACACACACACACACACACGTTCTGAACATTAACCTCCGACAGCCATGTTGTTGATGTTGGCCAGGCTGTGCACCAGTCTCTTTGTAAAGAGCGGGTGGGACTTGCCGCAGTACGTGTGGGTGGTCTTCAAAAGTTGCTCTTCCAGTGGATCCAACAAACCGCTCACCGGGTCCGTGCCAAACGAGTACTGCAAGCACAACAACGGGGCACGGATTATTTGTGAAAAGGCTTTGTTCAAACACGTGAGAATCCCCCAGTAGCTGACAGGCAGCAGGTGATGAACCACTCACACACGGGGAGCTAAATTCTCTTAACGATGCCACTAAAAATGGTCTTTCTGCTTGTTTAAAAGTTGAGAATACACCAGGGAGTAGTGGCAAGCCGAGGTACAAGGCGCTGAGATGTGAAATTGGGTAAATCAGGTGTCAAAACTCCCTGGGAGGTAAAAAAAAAATCTTACAGCGTTATTGAGCAGCATTTTAGTGTTTTTAGGAGACTTTTTCCTCACACATTTGACTTGGTCTTTCTCATGTAAATTAGGCATTTTTGTCAAACAATAACTTTTGAACTAGGAAATATAAAAGGAAAAAAAAAGTTTACGGGTCTAACGACAAATAAAACAATTAGCTTTTTGAAACAAGAGGACCACCCACACTCCAATCAGCTCTCAGGCCTCTTACGCACGCACAAGGATGTTTTCTGATAGAATAAGGGCAGCATGTTGTCGTCCGTTTTGTTCACTACATTTTACTTTTGCAAGAATCTGTTGGAAACATGTATAATTTACAGGGAAAACAATTAGGTACCACAGCTTTAATGGAGAGCAAGAAAATGTGTGATATAACGATGGATATTGTACTATTATGAGGGTTTTCAATGTACAGTATGTAACTTTGGTTTATATCCCATTTCATTTCTTTTTTTTGAACTACAGTATGATAATTGTCTGGATGAGATATAGAAATAATTATAATCTAAGATAAGATCAACCTTTATTCATCCCTCAGTGGGGACATTTGTAGAATCTATTCAACTACAATTCACAGCACAATATCTGTCCCACGATGAATTAAAGGAATAGTTCACCGTTTTTACATACTGACATATGTTCTTACCTTACCTTAGACTAGTTAATACGTACCTGTGTGATCTTAGTCCGTGCGCTCTGTCATGCAAACGGAGCAAAAACGGGAGGACAAATGCAGCCTCCTCTGTATACTGTGTAGCACCAAAAGGTAGCTCCCGCTAGAAGCTACCAAACTCTTCCAAGTGTTCCCTATTAAATGTATATAGTTACGTGACGTGTTACACTGCAAAGTATAGTAACACAGAAATGTAACTGTCGATTTTCTCAGCGGATAAAACGGGTACTATATTGTGAGGCGTAGTAATCTGAGGAGCGCTACGTCCGCGCACTAACTTCTCTCTGTACTACAAGTCACGCTGCTTCTATTGACTGAAGTGAGCGAGAGAGAAGTCTCCGGACAGAAGTTAGTGCGCGGACGTAGCGCACCTCAGATTACTACGCCTCACAATATAGTACCCGTTTTATCCGCTGAGAAAGTCGACAGTTACATTTCTGTGTTACTATACTTTGCAGTGTAACACGTCACGTAACTATATACATTTAATAGGGAACACTTGGAAGAGTTTGGTAGCTTCTAGCGGGAGCTACCTTTTGGTGCTACACAGTATACAGAGGAGGCTGCATTTGTCCTCCCGTTTTTGCTCCGTTTGCATGACAGAGCGCACGGACTAAGATCACACAGGTACGTATTAACTAGTCTAAGGTAAGGTAAGAACATATGTCAGTATGTAAAAACGGTGAACTATTCCTTTAATACATTCACATAAGCATTCTAGTCATGAGGAATTCCCAAACGGATGCATTCAGCTGGACTCAACATAAGTGGCTGACGTCTTGTTGCGCTATAGGCTTAAGGTCCGGTCATAAGAGGGGATTAGAGGCGAATTTTCATGTCTTTCCAATAATGAAAGTCCCTTTACAATGCTCTAAGGAAATCAAAGGGGAATTACCACTTTTATGCCAGCTCATTTGCTTGTGGTCGGTACCCTCCTCGATATTGGGTCACAAAGAGAAATGGGCTTTTTATGAGCGCGCACAGGATCGCACACACATTGGTCATAAAGTTGCATTTACAGTTGCTCGTATTGATTTTGGTGAGGCTGATGGGGCGCTGTTGGTGCGCAGACAGCAACTCTAAATGCATTCATTGGTTGTAAAAATTTAACTGCTGCATCCCGGACAGCGCTTTTGCATCTGAGGGAAGAGAGTGTTTGGAGGTATGAGAGCACACAGACAGAGCGACAGGAGACAGACGGGGAGGAGCCTTCCCATCACTTTGGGAGGGCAAACAAGTCAACAACAGTAAAATGTACCATCTGCAAAGACAGAAAGTGGGATATGATGTGTGGCTCAAACACAAGCAGCCCCTAAATCTTGTTATTGTTTTCGTTTCGATGTCCCGCTTTCCACCGTTTTATTCATCATAAAGTTTGTGAAAAGTAAGGTTTGCACAAGCAATAATTCACAATGCGTTTGTGGAACGTCGCGGCAATTACAGCAGCCAGTCTTTTTGGGGTTTGACCAACACACATCCATGGGTACGACTCTAAACAAGTCAAAAACTCAATTTATTTGGGTTCAGTTTGGGTAATACTGGGCTGCATGAAGGGGTATAGTTATCACGTGTTTGTGTGTACGCAAAATGAACTAACAATCAAACTAACAGACGAAGCATTATAACCCTAGCTCCTGAACTGACACATATCCTTCTATGTTATTAACGGTCTGACTTCAAGCCATGACTGTGTTTGCTTTTAAACCATTCCGTACTTCCAACTTGTATTTTACTGTTCCACTGTCTTTGTTTTGTCTTTCTTGTGTTTCCTCTGTCTGCTTTGTCTTCCTGTCCCTACTGTTAATTATTTTGACTTTGGATTATTATGACTGTTTATTGTGCAGCACTTTAACTCTTTTTTTTTTCAAATAAAGATTTTTTAATATTATAATTAGCATCATAAATATTGTTGATAATACAATATCATGGGTGACGAGCAGCGTTAGTTTTGAGTCATACATAATATTTAGCATTTGTTCAATCAATTACATTTTTATCTCATCTGACAAAATGAACAGGCAATGAAACGGTCCCTTCTTTAAGATTAAATGCACTTATAACGGATCTATAGCATTTGTCTAAATTGCCTACTGGAAAATCTATGCATTTTTGCCACGTTGTGTGTACGGTACGGTCGCACTTAACCGCAAACTGCAGTATCGATCACACACTATAAAGCTGCTTAAGTATGAGCCATGGATCAGCTCCTGGACTGAGCTACGTCCCATCTTCTATTAATAGAGAAAGCAATGAGACTTTCCCCGGTGATGGCTTCATTAAGTAAATGCCACTCGGACCAACGGTATCATTAGACTTGTGGTAAACAGCCATAAACATCCAGAAAAGAAATTAGCTGTGCTTGTAGCCTGGTGCCAAAGGTGTGTGCAGACCGAGACATCTGCAGCTCTTCAGGTCCAAAGGGTCAGACACAATCCAAGATCTCATCTCTGGGGTTACAGAAACAAGCCATTCTAGAGACCAGGGGAGGTTTACTGGGTTATGAAAGGTCTCGTCCAATCAGATCTCTCACTCCACTCCGCCTACACGCTTGCACACTTGGCAATTACAAGAAATTGTATCAACTCTTACTGAAAAGATTTACAACTTTAATTGCAAGTTTGTTGAGCAATAGGGCAGTGAATGTTTAATGTCATTATCACTTAATGTGAAGTAAAGGGCTGCCACATTGAATCCGTGAGGCAATTTGTTGGAATCATCATAAAGTAAGTAATTAAGTAATGTTTATTTATATTTTACAGACCAAAGTCACCCAAAGGGCTTTACAATGTTCAGAGTTCAGATATTGTTCCAATCATTCCACACACGGTGATGACGGAAGCGAGTCGCCGAACACACTGGCGCATCAGCTCCCAAACGACACCATCCATTCACTCTCTCATTCACATTCATACCTATTGTGCATGTTTTTAGTGGTAGGGGAAAGCAGAGCACCTGGAGGAAACCTACGCAGACACGGGGAGAACATGCAAACTCCACTCAGAAAGGCCCTCTTCCGACCGGGATTTGAACTCAGGACCTTCTTGCTGAGAAGTGAGAGTGCTATCCACTCAGCCACCGTGCCGCCTTAAACTATGACTTTCATACATAGTGTGTGGTATGGATACATTTTCACTATGACGCAGTGAGGTTCATTAACTGGACCCCACCATGTTGCAGCTTTTACTTAATCCATTGCACTCACAAAAGGGCAGTCCCTCCAACACTCACAATGGTAATGATTGTTTAGCGGATGTATTAGATTAATGTGTTTCACAGCTGTTTTGCCCTAAATCTACTTTTTTCACAAACCGGTAGTTCTGAATTTTCCCCTACAGCCAAAAAATATTATACATTTACATAGAAACTTTTGTTTTTTTAATCTTTCTTCCATCTGCTGGCCTTGGTTCAGATGATCTACATGGACCTGAACAGGCTGTTCCAAAACCATATGAGAAAAGCCCACCTGACGTATGGCCTCGTAAACCGCCCTGAAAGCAGGCTGTTTGCCGTCGTGGAAGACCCCTCTGTTGCCGTGCAGAATGAAAACGCCTTCTTCTTCAGCTGAGGCACAGTTGCTGCCGTAGATGCAGTGGTCGGGCCGGTAGTTCCACTGGCAAGGGAACTCCAGCATGAACTCTGCACAAAGGGAAAGGTCCAGCAATGAAGTCTGGGGTTGTCTTGTGTGTTGAGTAAGAACATCCACTATTCAGGTAATTGAGTGGACCTTTGAACGTTTTCAGTGAGGTATGACTTCATTTTCTCAATCATTATCTTTTAGTAGTCCAAATCTACAAGTTTGTGACACAATATCATGAACACAAGATCATGTTTGCATAGTATCTCTTCACACATTTCTCTGTACAGTCCCTATGCTCCTCAGAGTCTAAGTTGGTTCATATGGCATTAACATGTCATACCTATGGTTTGATGCGGGGCCATGAGAGACTTGTGGATACAAACAGGTCAGCAGAGGTCAGTGTGTGTGCGTGTGAAGAGGGTGGTAATTTTATATCAGTGGGTATGCATATTTTTCCCATCATTTCGTCATTATTAGATGTGTATATCATGTCAAAGTTTGTTAGTTCAATAATCTCCAACAAAAAACGTTATACTTAAATCAACAAACCATAACAAAGCGGTCACTGATGTGTTTCATTGTTTTTTCCTTGTCATAAACACGGTTCTTACCAGGATTGTAGTGGAAGATTATATTGAGAAGGTCCTGGTCTCCCCATGTTATGTTGAGTTTATATTTCTGTAGGAGAGGCATCAGAAGCTCCTCCCAGCGCAGCCCCACAGAAGTCATGTCGTTCTGCAAACACAAAGTGAGACAAAAGAGCTGTGAAAAGGCTCCGTGCACAATGGGCTTTCCCGACACGCAAACCCACGCGATGTAGTGCGGGAGAAGGAGGACCTCTAGTGGACAGTTTGACAAAGTACAACAGCACAAAGGCAGCGTTATTTGAATAGTTCATACACTAAATACACAAGCGGAAGAACATATAGAATACAATTAGACAAGCATTAATCTTATAAATACTAAAAGAGATACTAACTTGAAGGTTGAAGGTATAAGTAATTCACTATACGGCTACATTCAATATACACTGAAAAAACTGATCATTTTACCACTTTTTTTCCCCCCAAAAACTAGATTTGCCAATGGGAAAAACAAAGCGTTCTTATTTTGATTTTGACTAAAAAACAAGGCTTTATTTTATCTGATTCAAGCTCATTTTGACTTACTTTTTGTCTTTTTTGAGCAGTATATTAATTAAATAAAATACATCATTTATATGTTGTAACATTAATCAAAAAATTCTTTCCTTGATTGATAAGAAATACTTGGTTGACTTCCTTTTAAAAACGGCAGAAGTTATAGGCCTCTTCTCAAAGTCAAATGGGAGCTGTGTGAAGACAAAGAATTTGACTTAAACCTACCAGAAAGAAGGCGTCCCTCATCCTGGTCATATTCATCAGCATGACCCCAGAGTTGATGCCCGTGCGGCCGTAGTAGGGGTGGCGGGCGAAGCGGTTGTACCAGGCGATCCTGGGCTCCTCGTGCTCCGGAGCCATCGCTGCCAGCTGGGTGGAGTTGAACCGGGACAGGAGGGCCCACAGCCGGTCTACGGGCTGCAGGAAGACGATGTCCGAGTCCACGTACACAACCGAGTCCACGCCTTTCAAGATCAGCTGCAGGACAAAGATGGTGTATCGTCAATGATTCAGCAGGAACACAGCCGTAATCAAGGGATAATATTGGGATTGATTAAGAACTCATAGCCGTAAAACTAACTGGTACAGTGTCAGATTTAACTCCCCTTGCTTCGTCCCCCCCTTCCAGACTCTTTTCTTGTGTTATCCATTTCGATGTGATCAGTGTAGGTGTGACAAGTTTTTCTTCTTGTGGCAACTGGCCAACGAGTGACTTGCCCTGTGCAGTAAAGCTTGGAGGCCTGCGAAGATTTTCTCCATTGAAATTCCTGTTTATATCATGTACTTTTTACTTGAATTAAACAAGAATGCCTACAACCCACAAGCCAAATGTACCCTGTAGGTACATTTGCAGTTTGGGAAAGCTGTTCTATAGGCGGGGTGAAACTTGCGGCCCTCTATCCAATTATATGGGGCGGCACGGTGGCTGAGTGGATAGCACTCTCGCCTCTCAGCAAGAAGGTCCTGGTTCGAATCCCGGCCGGACCAGGGCCTTTCTGAGTGGAGTTTGTATGTTCTCCCCGTGTCTGCGTAGGTTTCCTCCGGGTACTCCGGTTTCCCCTACCACTAAAAATATGTACAATAGGTCTGGCATGCGCCTCCTGTTCGGCGACCCCGCTCCCATCTCTGTGTGGAGTGAGAGGACAAGTGCCCAAAAAATAACAAGTGTAAACCGCTTTGTGACTCTGGTCTGTGAAAGGCGGTATATAAATAAAAGCTTAAAGCTTATATATGGCCCTCTGCCTTGCTAACACAAAGTAACAGTTAACACAAGTTCACAGTGTCATCCACTTCAGCTCTGTCGATGTTGACATAGTATACCTCATTGTAAAGCTCATGATCTCTGGACTCCATCTGTTGAGTAAACACTTTTGTCAATTGTAAAACTAATATAAACATGACAAACCTCAGAACAGCCCAAATCCAGTTGTTCCGTGTTGTTGGCCCCTGTGCAGCTTAAGTGGCCCATTATGGTCAATGTACATTTTGAGTACATATTCCACATTGTATGTACTGTATTGTACTGGTAAGTTTAATACAGCACTACTTATTTGTATGTTATTTATTTTTGTATTTTAACATGTTGCACACTTCTGTCACAGGAGACATGTACATTTCAAAAAAGTCTATCTTATCATATCTTATTTTATTGTGTGGAAATAGTTCAAATGTTATTTTATCTTATTGTGTTGAATAATTTAATAAATAGTATACATGTTAAACATGTTTTCTTCGGCTGTTGTCTTATATTGCTTTATTAGTGTGAATAATGTATTTGTTTAAGTGCAACGGAACTTATGCTTGCTTTAAAATTTATAGTTTCTTGAATTATGTGTAGGGCCCCTATGCCGACTTCTGCTTAGGGCCCCAAACAAGGCAAGCACCAGCTCTGCTTGTGGGAAGTCGAACCAAAGTCCTTTGGCCCTCTCTAGTCGTTAGTTTTGTTAAAGGAGACATATCATGAAAAATCCACTTTTTGTGCCTTAAATGCCTTATGTTGTGTAGTTGGAGCCTCTAGAAGTGCAAAAAAGTTGAAATCAGTCTCTTCATGGGTTGCAGAGAAACACTTCATATTCTGTTTAGGTAAGATTTTTCAACCCGTTCTGATTTTGCCATTCTCTATTACGTGTTTAGAATATTACGTCACAGTATTTGCAGCGAGACTGCTATATAAGGGCATGGGCGTCTAACAAAACACTTCGGCCCAGCCCTCCTCCACTGTGCATCACTTAATTTGTAGTCCAAGCTCAAGGATGCCAGCGAACAGGGCTGGACTGGCCATCGGGCGTACCGGGCAATGCCCAAAGGGCCGATGCCCATATTTGGGCCGGTCTGTCTGCCTCATACAAAACACATGTTTATGAGAAGTGTAAATCCGTTGAGAATTGTTGGAGCAAGGCGCGCGTATCCGCGGGGCACCTGCTGTATGTACTCGAACGGGATTCCGCCACCTCAGCGGCCGCAGTGTTCCAGGGCATCTGCGGCCGCTTTGTAATGAGCAGCTTCCACGTCCAGCGCTGCGAGAGGCTGTGAGCGTCCAGCTGCGAGAGGCTGTGAGCGTCCAGCGGCTGCGAGAGGCTGTGAGCGTCCAGCCGCTCGCAGCGCTCCACCGTGTTGTGGCTGAGCGCAGCCTCAACGTGGCCATGTACCCAACCCCATAAACGCGCACAGGACCATGCGTGTCTTTGAGTAATCTGTGCACCCAATAAATACACTGCTGCAGGAAACAGTCCGCGTCTCCCCTCTCCTCTCGAAGCGCGATTAAACGCCCTAAATAAAGCTCTGATACCTACATTTTGCATTGCATTAAAAGTTCATGTTTGAGCCCAAAAGTAATATGTTGTGAACAAATTAAACAGATTTAGAGCCAGCAAATGGCTGACAATATGCATTTCAGTCTTTTTTGACCAATTCTCATCCCTGTAACAAACAATAGTGTTGTCTGTGTCCACCTCCCTCACTCTGAGACATGTTTATTACTCTCTTGTAATACAGACTATTACATTTTATTTTATTGTTGAAACTGCACATATCCTGATCCTCTACAGTATTTGCTTCCACATACTGTATAAACTAGGAGTCGGCAACCTGCGGCTCCGGAGGCGCATGCGTCTTTTTCCTTCTGTAGAAGGAAAAACGTTCTTAACGTTTTTAAATGCTGTAAAATTGTGCATAAGTAATATTCAATTAAAAAAATTCTGTTAACGTGTCTGTCAAACTGGCGTGTGAGCCTCATAGACACATGTGCGCATGGATCCCAAAGCTAAAAAGAGAAGAGTCGATAATAAGACTGGACTAAGAATGAAAATTAACATTTGCTTTCAGTCAATGAGGAAGGCCTGCTTCATGTTTGCGATGTAATGAGAAGTTTCTATGAGATAATTGTATCTGTGCTTAGAAACTACAAAAATGGCCACTCGGGGTGGAGTTGAACCAGTGTCACCTGGATGGGGGCGTGGTCAAAAGCGCCTCATTTGCATTTAAAGAGACAGCACCAAAACAGGTTGCTCTCAGACGCACCTCAGAACAGGTGTAGAAGAAAGGCCCGTGGAGCTACAAATAATGAGACTCAGACCCAGGCATTGCAGTTACGCTTTATATAGGCCACAAATTAATGATTTAGATGTAAAAATCAATTATTTGAAAACACGATATGTCCACTTTAAATACAGATGTGCTTCAGGAATTTAAACAAAGTGTTGGAGTTTGTCTCAAAATGTTAATGCCAATAATTTTACATTTCAAATAGTACTGCAAATTCATATTGGCTCTATAATGTAAATATCTCCAATCTATATACCTCTCAGTTATCGGGCTACTTCACTACTAACTATTGGTAATCGGTTGTGAAAATCAACCCTTAAAGGCCGTACACAAAGAGGTTGCGACAGACAGTATACCGTTAAAGTTGGGAACCAGCCTCCAGAGTGGAACGAAACAGATATGCTGCTTGGCGGGGGCTGTTTCACTGCCGCATGAAGAGAAAGGTGTGAATTCTCTTGTCAATATGACCTCACCACTTCCCCTTTTATCCACAGCATCTCCGTCTTAACGGGCTTTAGGTCATTGTCATGTAATAATTTTCAGCATACCACTGCGGTAATCAAGGGACGACAAAGAAATTCGTCCTTAACACCCATAAAACGAATTGAGGCCATACATTAATTTTTAACACATAAATTGTGTTGTTTTCATGTAAATAAAAGACAATTTCAAGAGCTCAGACAAACATATGATTTTCTACGACATTCATGTTGCATTTTAACTGGTCAGTTATGGGAGAAACAAAACTGGTAGATGAGCCTACAGTGCCCTCTTGGGGCAGTGAGAATTAAGACATGATACTTTGTCATACTCACTGTATTTTGACTATGTAAAAACCTGACTTATGGATAGCACTAAGATAATCTATCTAGTAGCTACAGTATGTGCTATGATGCCTGTATTGGGTTGCTGTGCTAGTTGTTTAGTTTTATTGTATTCGTACCTACTCAAATAAACCAAATAAACACAAACATTTAGTATATGTACAAAGGAATTTGGGATTTAGTCAGTTTTGTTTTTCGGAGGGGCTTAAAGTGTTGTATATAAAGAAACCACTCACTCCTTCAAGCATGGTTAATAAGGCGTCTTGCCCAAGAACACACCAACTTGTGGTTAAGTAAATCTGACCAGTCTAATAAATTCTCTAATTGAAGCAGGATAAGAACAATTCAGTAGGGATGTAGGACCTTAGGGATGCCTAGCTTTTTCATGTATGATACCAATCCTAATACTTGGCTTTGGGATCGTATTATGTTTTTAAGTAACAAAAGAAGACCTTTATCGGAGTAAAAGTTATAAAAAGCTTAATGTCAGCCAGTATACAGTCTTAGTACGTCCAAATACAGGCTGTATTGTGAAACATATTGTGGTTCCAACAACATTTCCACTAATTGGCACAGTCATCTGATTCTGTTACGTATATAGTGTACTCACAGGAAGGAAGAGGCGCTGAGAGGCACAGGGCTTGAAAAGCTTCTTCCACTCTGCAGCATTCTCACTGGGAAAACTGATGGAGTATAGAGAGTAGTTGAATCGTGTTCGCACAGCATCGGGCCAGGACTCCAGCTGAAATGTAGAGGACAGTTGTTGATTTGATATTTTTAATTAGGCTAGGATAATTGAACAAGACATGTTTAAATCACTGCAAAATGTAGGCCTGTAATTAACAATTACTTTGATAATCAATCAATCAAATGGTATTTATTGTGCCCTAAACAACACTCAAGGTGACCAAAGTGCTTTACAATAAAATCACATTAAATCAATTGAAATATTCATGCAAGCAACACAAAAAAGTCGATGGATGATTAGTTGGCCAATTATTTAAATAAAAAGTTATCGATTAGTGGCTTAAATATCTAAAAGTCATAGTATTATATTACATTTGACCAAAACAAAGCTCCCTGATTTCCCTGAATATGACTTGTTACACACTGGGCTAATATGAAAACATGTGTTTATCACATTTCCGTGTAATAATATTAATAAAATGCTTATTACTACATACAAGTTGTATTTAAATCCGTAATTTAATTGAAAATTTGAGCTCATTGATTCAGCTTGTGTATAAACTCAGGCCATAAAAAGTGCAGAGTAGAGACTTAGCTAGCTCTCCTCTAATCACAGAACGAGGAGCGGCGCTGTTACGAACAGGCTGCGTCCTCTAGCGTCTACAGCGCAGGTAAACAAGAGCAGCATGGAGCTGATAGTGGCTATAGCTCCTCTGGCTGTAACTGCAGACACAGCAAAACAGCCCAAACGACGCAACAGTGAGGGACCGCCTCGTACTACATTTGGACGTAGAACTAGCGGTAATCTTTCAGTTATATATTTTGTTAGCAGTGCCTTGCTTTTGTACCATTTCATCAGTGATTGTTGTACAGCTTACAAGAAGTTACGCTCATGCTAATGTTTGCATATGTATCAGATCGCAAATAAAACTAGATGGCTTCGTGGTATGAGAGCGTAGGGGAAATGAGAAGTCTGTGAGCAAAACATTCAAACTGAAAAAATCTACAGAAACGGGTATAGCCCCTTTAAAGAGTGTTTATGTCTATGCAAGGCTTAATCCATGACTAAAATAGTCAGCCCTTAAATGTACATACACTATATAGGTCTACTGCGAAGGAAATTCCTACAGAACAGGGGATTTTGTGACTGTGACACTGTGATTTCAAAACACTTAAAGGAATAGGCCACCGTTTTTACATACTGACATATGTTCTTACCTTACCTTAGACTAGTTGATATGTACCTGTCTGGTCTTTGTCCGTGCGCTCTGTCATGCAAACGGAGCACAAACTCAGCCTCTTCCACAGACTGTATAGTTCCAAATCAGCTCCCGTTAGAAGCTACCAAACTCTTCCACTTGTTCCATATTTAAATACAGTTATGTGACGTGTTACTCTACAAAGTATTGTAACACAGAAATGTAACATGTCGATTTTCTCAGGGGATAAAAAGGGGTACTATATTTGCGTTTGTGCTCCATTTGCATGACAGAGCACACGGACAAAGACCAGACAGGTACATATCAACTAGTCTAAGGTAAGGTAAGAACATATGTCAGTATGTAAAAACGGTGGCCTATTCCTTTAAAGAGCATAGACCCATATTTCTCAACTCCAGTGTAATCTGATTCCACTTACAGCCTCCATAAAGCTGGCGTGCAGTTGGTCCTCTGCAAAGATGTGCACGCAGAGCTGTTTGATGCTGAAGAGGACAGCTGACTTGATCATAGTCAGGGTCTCTTCCAGTCTGCCCCCACAGGTCACCACAGCCAGGTGCATGGGGGCCTCCACTGGGGGGTCAGCAAGGCTCCGCTGTCGCATGATGTACCTGAGGAGAAAGGGAAGAGCCATGGGGAAGGACAAGTATTAACAAGTGCCTGATGCAGGGTAAACCTGTTTCCATAAAAACACTCCCACAGCGATCACGGTGTCTGTGCTGTAGTTATACCACTCTTGTGTTACATGAATTACAAACAACTTGGCTCGATATAAAAAGGCAAATCTGAATTACTCAAGCAATCAATGAATTTACATGATCTACCATTTTTTATGAAGGGTTTTCATAATAAATGTAATGAATATAAACATATAAACTTTAGAAACGGAAGCTTGCCCAATGAGTCATATAATGCTATCATCATGAGAACTTTTCATATTGTACAAAAAGAACAGACATATAGCAAATGTGGAATGCAAAAACATGCTTATAAAAAAATCAGGAATCTGAAGAAAACAAAACACAGTGGCTCAATGAGTACAAGCAACAAAAGAGAAAAGAGATTCATGTTTTACACAAGCTTTAAAACACACATTTTAATAGTTTTTGTTCCAAAAATCGATTGATAGGTCTTGTTTTTAAAATATCATTATGTGTATAAAACCTTTGTCTAATAATAATATCATATTGTAAATGGTAATAATGATGAATACTGATTTTCTTGTTTTGTATGAACTGGGCTTTAAAAATAAACTTGCCTTGTCATATCAATGAAGCTTAACATCTTAACATACAGTGTCAATTTGTAAAACATACTTTTCTAGGCAGAAAAAGGTCTGCCATAAACAAGCTGTCTGGGAACGGTCTGCGGCTTTATTTACAACTTCATAGCCTCGTGTTGAATGCGGTCACGTGACTTCCCCAACTTTCCAGCCTCTACATTCTGATGCATTCAACTTCAATCACACTACATTTAATACACACGAACAGAACACTATCCCATTACTGCGCCATTATTATTATTATTTGTATTATTATTATTGGCAGACGCAGACCCAGACTCACCTATTGTACCAGTGCGTGTGGCTGCCAGGTTTGTCCGCAGCCGTAGCTCCTTCTCTCTGGGGAAGGAAGACTTGCTTGTTCGTCCTGACGCCGCCGTTCAGAACCTCTGCGTGAAACAGCTTCGAGTAGAAATAAAAGCCCGAGAATACGGCAAACACCATGCACAGCAGCAGTGCACGGAGGTACCGCCGCATTGTGGAGTTTAAAGGTGCTCCGAGCTGGGATCATGACACAGGCGTACGCTGCATAGCTCACGGTGGATTGAGGTGAAGATGCCCGCAGAGACTGCGCTTCCGCTGGGGTGGGCTACAAAATAAAAGCGCTTCATAAGTGTGTTCGTGTTTGTGTATACAGTCTATGGTTTGTGTGGAGGAAGGCGTCCTCTGGTGGATGAAGGAGGAACCTGCAGGCCAGAAGCAATCTGACACAAAATGTTTTAATCAATGATATCAGTTAATTGTGTAAATTGCTTATTTTTATTGAATAGGTTTATTGAAGATGTAACGATGTATTACTGCTTCTTCTAATAAAGTTAACACTAACATAAATGTGCAAATAAATCCTTGTAGTTCCTCCCTCTCAGTTCCTGTCCTTGTAATAGTTCGTCCCAATTGTCTCATGCATGGATTTCTCTGTCACGACTTTAGAATAGATTTTTCAGAGAAAAATTTAATTATTTTTATAGGTCATATCCATGCATAAATCACACCCATTAATTTCCTAAGGATCATTTTAGCATCAACAACATCAACATAATGTTTAATGGAAACGTAATTCCTCGAGAGTAACATATAAGGCAAAACGTTTGGTGAAATTATAGTCACATTACTATAATGGTCGTTCTGAATGTTTTTTTACTGCCTTTTTTCTGTTTCTTCTTTTGGGAGACAGTTTTGACAGTTTTGTATTTAAGAAATCCTTTATTTGTCCCACAGACAAATACAGATAACAAAACAAAGTGGCTTTGGGATTTAAATCATTTGGCGTTTTATACTAAAATAGACGTTTAGCAGATGAAGATAAGTACCTCACTATATTGATGTAAATCTGGAATATTGTGCAAACTAATGTCAAAAATATGAATAGGTTTGGGTCTCTTTCTTATACTGTACCTATTTATTTTCATGGTTCAGGGTCAGATCATAGAAACATAAGCTTTTATATTAACACAACAGTTAAAGCTGGAGTCCATGAACACGTTGTGTTTGTCCCAACAGAAAGAGTTCTGTATCAAAAACATTTTGTGACTAACCACAACTTGCGGTCTGCATCGATACACTGAGATGATTGGGGGCTGGTACGCTATTCTTTTTCTGAAAAACTTGATCCAAAGATGGGATGTGACAGAGAAATCAATGCATCCAGAAGAAAAAGAAACCCATGAAAACTGTCTAAGTGTGGAACTATGGCTTTTATTACATATCGTTTTGTGGTTTGAAAGATAGTTCTTCCTGCTTTGATACTGTATACTAACTCTTGAATGTATGAATACATTTGATGGCCCTTGTTTTGAATGAATCTTTTTCCATTGCTTACTTAGGACTTCATTTTGCAGTTTGTATTTTGAAGCTTCCGGAAGTCTGCCAGTCCTCCCTCCCTTGCGTGTTGCAGACTTGACGCATGGAACCTCAGAACAGGCATGAGAAGGGGTCAGGACCTCTTTTGGGGGAAGGGTGGGAGCACTGAGAAAAGTACTCCCCACTCGCACCTCCCCCTGTCTCCCAGAAACTTTCTATTGCTTTCACCTCTGAAACCAATAGGCTTTAAAAGGCACGTATTTTTCTATTGTTTTTGTTGTTGTTAGGACTGAAGACCTGGGGAACATTATTAAAGTCAAATACATTCTCATGAACTTACTCTGAAAGATATGCAGTCCAAGTTTCACATGGAACACTTTCTCATGCATGGGTATGTGTGATGAATGCAAACCACTGAAGCGTCATATTAACATAATCTGTATGAACTTTGGCCCCAAGTGTTTTGGACCAAAAAGGAAGTGCTTATTGTTTAATTTCAGCAGATGGAGCAACAAGTCATCTTACAATACTCATCTGCCTGATAATAGTGAAGAAGATGACATAGTCTGGGATCGCGTCTTAAATTCAGACAGAAGACATGTTTTATTGTCGATGGTAGAGACAGCACGATCAAAGCACACGAGCACAGAAACAATAGAATGCAAGTGTATTATACAGAGCGGAGGCATGGAGACCTCCAATCAGCAGCTTCCACGGTGCCATGTAGCTTGGCCTTCAGATAGACAAAACAAGGGAAAGGTACTGGCTTCTGCACATTGATAGAATGATGAGTTTAACTTTAACAAAAGTTGCTTCAAAGTGTTATGAAATCTCACATTCCCCCCTCTGGTCACACATTCACGTGTGACCATCAGGATCGATAAACAGCAACATAACATCATAACTCAATATTTCAAAAGCTCATAAACTCGGTACTTCACTCTGTACTTCAAAAAAACTCAGAACTCGGAATACTTCAAAAACTGATAAAACTCATAAAACATTTTCAGATCTTTCATAAAACTTGTCAACAATCTTCAGTAAAATACCAAACTTCATCAGTCGATGGTGGTTCCAGATATTGCTTTGAAAACAGTCTCTCCCACTTCTCCGTGTTGGTTTCTTCAGGCTGCATTTGTTGTGTCGAGCCATGAATTCTTCTGTGACGTGTCTTTCAATCACACGTTTCAGCTTCAGTGTCCAGATTTAGCAAATCAATTCAGTCCAAATTATGTCCAAATTCAGAAATCCAGATTGTTCCAAATTATGTCCTTGCAAAAGAGGACGCTGGTATTGTCCATGTCTCAGCAGCTCACAGCCTGACTGGAATCAGGGGCTGTGCAGATTGTCCAAGTGTGCTGGTCCAGATGCATTCTCTTGAGGTTTTTCAGTTTCGGCTTGAAAAAAAAAAACACTTTTTGTGTAAAAAAAAAAAGTAGTCTTCTGTTCTGTAGATGTTACAGACAAGGCCCGCATCCTTCCACCACCTGAAGAAGATGACATAGTCTGGGATCGCGTCTTAAATTCAGACAGAAGACATGTTTTATTGTCGATGGTAGAGACAGCACGATCAAAGCACACGAGCACAGAAACAATAGAATGCAAGTGTATTATACAGAGCGGAGGCATGGAGACCTCCAATCAGCAGCTGCCACGGTGCCATGTAGCTTGGCCTTCAGATAGACAAAACAAGGGAAAAGTACTGGCTTCTGCACATTGATAGAATGATGAGTTTAACTTTAACAAAAGTTGCTTCAAAGTGTTATGAAATCTCACAATAGTCTGGAGAGCAAGCTTTACATTCACTTTCCCACATGATGATCAAAGAGACGGGCCATAGGCTGCTATATCCCAGATCAAAAGTTAAAAAAATAGCAAAATAAATCAAAGTAAAATTTCTATTTCCAATTTTCCTTCATTAAAAGATAGTGGTAAAACAATATCTTTATTGTCAACTGTATTAACTATAGTTGATAATGTTTCCCCCTGAAAATGTCAGTCCCTGTTACCGTAGGCATGTAGCACTTAAATGTTTGCACTTTACAGCATATTTTCACTTAAACTTGTGGCATCCTGTCCTCTTGTTATTGCTACTTTCAATGTTATTGTAATTATACTGTGTCTGTCTATTTTTAAATCTTTGCTGCAAAACCAAATTCCTCTAGAGGGACGATAAAGAGAACTTAGAACTTTACTGGTGTTTTCGACTTTATTCCTGGTCTTGATAATTGCGATCTACCAAACTTGATTTCTGTCTCAGCTCTACTTTTGAATTATAATGGTCTTGTACTCGAATAGTAGTTGTATAATTATTATTACTGTACTGTTTGTCTTTTGGTGTTCACTATCAGCATGGATTGGTCCTGCACCATTTTAGCAAATTATCTCTGAACAAGATCACAATTTTCATTTGTTCAGAGTAAAAATAACTTCAAGAAAGCTTTGAAAACGTGTACATATGAAATAATTACATACAACTCCCAATTATTTCAGTAAATGTTCCTAGAATTCAAGTACATCCTTTTTATTCCTAGAAATAAATAGAAAAAGTCAATTAACCCAGAAAGCAATGCAAATTTTCTTGTTTTAATTTCCTAAGATGTAGTAGCATAATCTTTTTTTTCTTTTTTGAACCGCTAGTTTTTTAATTATAGGCCTTTACCAATTCGGGCGTTCTGCTCTCCCAAAATTTCATCCACTGAGCGGCGCTGTGATCAAAAAATGACACCGTTTGTTGCCCAGTTCACTTCCGGTTGATTTCATACAATGGCGAATATGGCTCACGAAAACAACAAACGATTGACAGTGCCTGAGTTGCGTGAAAGGTTGAAGCGAAAGGGTATTTGCAGTGTGGGAAAACGAAAGGAGGAATTGTTGTTGCTAGTTCAACGAGCGAATGGTGTTTATGAAGATTTAGAAGAAGATGACAGCGAGCAGAGTGAACGAAAACGGCTGTGTGTGCGAGTGACAGATGGTAACAATGAGAATGAAGTTCAGCTAAGAGGGAAGAATGTGAATTGTACGGATGATTTGCGCGATATGCCACTAGTTAGAGACGGGAATGTATTTGCATACAGAAAATGACGAAAACACTCAACCACTTAGAGAAAATGCGCCGGGCAGAGAGAACCGGAAGTTGCGAAGGCAAGTGTTACCCATAATGCAACGCAAAATTCAGTCGCTCCCCCGCCCATCGGATGGAATTTTGGGAGAGCAGAACGCCCGAATTGGTTGAAATGCAGTTTGATGGTAAAAGTGCCTAAAACCGAGTGATAGAGATGCCCCAATGAGGTAGATTTAAGTTTCAAGCTTGAAGTAAAAAAGTGATCCACCTAATGGTTGAGGAAACCTTTAAAGGGTTAAGAAGTTTCCATTGTTACATGATGACAGTTTATATACATTATGAAAAAGAGGGGATACTATATCTGAGTTGGAATGGGGAAAAAAGGCTAAGACGATACTCACTTGTTCCATGGACAAATCTTCACAATTCATCCATCTTCTTCCGCTTTATTATTGCCATATCGAAAGGACAGACCACTAAGCAGAGATGCCCAGATTTCTTTCAATATATTCTCAAATGTCAAATGTTCTCAAAATCAAGTTATGTTTTTCTGATCTTTACCTCCTTACCTTTTCGTCAAGAACTCAACTGCAGTCATTGTGATTTTCTCATT